ATCGTAAATGGCATAAGGGATCACATGGTGAACATTTTATGAAAATCGAATAATAATTGCCACTTTTATAGACCAAGAACCTTGAAGAATGACTTGTAGAAAATCGTCTATTTCACTGCAACCGTACAAGTTAGAAATCATTTTGTGGTATCTGTATGATCATATGGGTTCATTCTATTTGTTGATAGGAATCAAATAACATAATTTTATAAAATATTCCAATTCAGACTCATTTGAATAACTTATCTGTTTTGAAGATTAAAAATACAGTTTTTGCCCAAATGACGTGTAGATGTTAAAATGTTTGACCTAGTCCTAATTGCCATTAGGCATCAAATGGTCAAAAATATTGAAAATCGAATAATAATTTACTCGTTCACAGGCTAAATAACGTGAAAAGTGACGCATGCAAAATTTCCTATTTCTCGGCAACTGCGCATATTACAAATTAAATTTCACATACATTCTCTTCGTATGGATTAATGCTACAGATTCATAAAAGTTGTTTGTCCAGATATGAAAAGCCTGAATGCATTGAAAATATCTCATTTTTACACCCTTTTTCACCTTTAAATCAAAATGGTGCAAATGCAAAAATGGGGAAAAGAAAACAACAAAAAACACTAGGCAAGACAGGAGTTTCAGAATCATCGAATAATCATTTCCCCCCAAAATATAAGGCTTTGAAAAGAGGCAGTAAACTCGAAAAAATTCGAAAAATAAAGGGTGATAACTCGGAACGAAACTTATATTAGGCCTACTCGAATCGGATGGATCTCAGATTTCCAAAAATGTAGGTCAAATTTAAAATATTTGAAAAATACCAAAAATGGTCTCATAAACAACATGTTTTTAATTTTTGATCGATAGAAGTCAACGACGAAGTTTCAAAATTGCAAAATCTGAGACTGGTGTTATCTCGGAAAAGACTCGCGGATTCCGAAAATGTCACTTGTTTGAAAATGGATGAAGAACTGACGAAACTGACCGATTTTTCAATTTCGAGCCAACGTACAAAGTTCGTCCACTCTATGGCCTTCCCTGTGATTTAAAAAAAAAAAAATAGCAAGATATACAATTGTCTTTGTAGTATGTTATGCTCTCCGAAGTAGGGATCGTCTTTGTTAGCTACAATGTTGTTGTAACAGGAAATAGGAAACACGTCCCAGTCGAATGCATATAGAGAGATCTTCATGTCATTGGAGAAAAACCATTGAAAATAATAAATAAAATTCGATAAAACTAAAAGCAACAGCATAAGAACTATCGATCTGCTAATTCTAAAACTTCTATTGAAAGATTTCTCTTGTCTATTTAGATTATTTATGTTATGACTAATAAATTCAAATCTTTTATACAACGAATGTTCTCAAAAACTTTGTCAAATTACTTGAGAAATTCAATAAAAAGATTTGTAGGAACAATGTACATATTAATGCTCTTTATAAAAGATCTATAATTCCGGATGTTATAATCCGATATGCGTGAATATTGACAGAAACCAAGATCTTTTGGGTAATAAATATGTATTTCAAGTTTTATCAAAATTGTGGCCTCTAGAGGGTCCACAACCTTGATATACCATATATTTACACTATTTGCGTACGAGGGGCGGCCATTTTGTCCGGCAGTTTCGGTCCGATGTTCACAAAATTCTCACTCAGCCGTCCATAGGGTGTAACGGTGAAATATTAAAAGATTTTGTTTTTAATTGTGACCTCCAGAGTGTCCACAAGCTAAAAACACGATTTTTCGTACAATCGAGGGCCATAATTCAGGAAGTTAAAATCCGATATGCGCGAATACCGAAAGGAACCAAGAATTTCAATTATGATTCTAGAGGGTCCACAACCTTGATATACCATATTTTTATACGCCCACATTTTCAATGAAACTTGAAATATAGGTTTATCTCCCTAAAATCTCGGTTCCTTTCGATATCGGACCGTAACTTCATGGATTATGGCCCCTGATTGTACGAAAAATCACGTCTTTAGCTTGTGGACACTCTAGAGGTCACAATTTTCATCCGATTGATATTCGCGCATATCGGATCGTACCTTCCTGAAGTATGGCCCCTGATTGTACGAAAAATCGCGTTTTTTGGCCTGTGGTCCCTACATGGGTCACACTTTTTATCCGATTAAAAAAAAAAACCTTTGATTATATCACCGTTACACCGTAATGAAGGTTGAGTTCGAATTTCGTGAAAATCGGACCAAAACTGCCGGACAAAATGGCCACCGCTTGTACACGAATAGTGTAAGAATATGGTATATCAAGTTTGTGGACCCTGTAGAGGTCACAATTTTTATCAGATTTTGATGAAACTTGAAATGCATGTTTATAACCCAAATATCTTGGTTCCTTTCGATATTCGCGCATATTGGTACGAAATTTCCTGAATTATGGCCCCCGATTGTACGAAAAATCGCGTTTTTAGCTTGTGGACACTCAAAAGGACACAATTTTGATCCAATTTTGATGAAACTTGAAATGCATGTTTATAACCCAAAGACCTAGATTCCTTTGGTCGAAAAATCACATTTTTAGCTTGTGTGGATTCTCTAAAGGTCACATTTTTTTTCTGATTTTAAAAACCATTTAGATATATCATCATTCCACCATAATGAAGGTTGAATTGGAATTTCGGGAAAATCGAAATGAAACTGCAAGACAAAATGACCGCTCTTTGTATGCAAATTGTATAAAAGTGTGTAATTCAAAGGCTATGGACACTCTAGAGGTCACAATTTTTTATACGCCCACATTTTCATGTGGATGTATATTGTCGTCTTCCCTGTCCGTCCATCCACAATTTATAATATAGACACTCTACAGTTCACAATTTTTATCCGATTTCAACGAAACTTGAAATATAGGTTTATCTCCCTAAGATCACGGTTCATTTCGATATTGGCATGTATCGGACCGTAACTTCATGGATTATGGCCCCTGATTGTACGAAAAATCGCGTTTTTAGCTTGTGGACCCCATAGAGGTCACAATTATTATTCGATTTAAAAACACTTTCGAATATATCACCGTTACACCAGAATATTTGTTAACGTCGAATTTCGTAAAAATCGGACCGAAACTGACGGACAAAATGGCCGCCCCTCGTTCGCAAATAGTGTCAAAATATTGTGTATCAGGGTTGTGGATCCTCTGGAGGGTACAATCTTCATCTGATTTTGATGAAATCTGAAATGCATGTTTATAACCCAAATATATTGGTTCCTTCTTATTTTCGTGCATATCGAATCGTAACTTCCTGAATTATGACCCCTGATTGTACGAAAAATCGCGTTTTTAGATTGTGGTCCCTCTAGAGGTCACAATTATTATCCGATTAAAAAAAAACGTTCGAATATATCACCGTTACACCATAATGTTTTTTAACGTCGAATTTCTTGAAAATCGGGCCAAATTTGCTGGACAAAATGGCTGCCCCTCGTACGCAATTTTGATGAAAGTTGAAATACATGTTTATAATCCAAATATCTTGGCTCCTTTCGATATTCACGCGTATCGGATTGTATATTCCTGAATTCTGGCCCCTGAATGTACAAAAAATCGCGTTTTTAGCTTGTGGTCCCTCTTAGAATTAACAATTATTATTCGATTTAAAAAGACGTTCGAATATGCGGATTCACTAGAGGTCACATATTTTTTCCGATTTGAAAAACCGTTTAAATATATCACCATTCCACCATAATGTAGGTTGAATTCGAATTTCGGGAAAATCGAAATGAAACTGCCGGACAAAATGGCCGCACTTTGTACGCAAATTGTGTAAAAGTATGCTACGAAGAAGGTTGTGGACCCTCTAAAGGTCACAATTTTTATCCGATTTTGATGAAACTTAAAACATATCTTTATATCCCAAAGATCTCGGTCCATTTTGATATTTGGGCATTTCAGACCATAACTTTCTGGATTATTGCCCCTGATTGTACAAAAAATCCTGTTTGTTTTTAGCTTGTTCTCTATCCATCTCTAGCAAAATGTGGGCGTATCCTGCCTGGCAGCCACTGGTTACACTATTTGCGTACGAGGGACGTTACAAGTTACAATCCGATATGTGCAAATATCGACAGGAATCGAGATCTTTGGGATATAAATATGCATTCCAAGTTTCATCAAAATCGGATGAAAATTGTGACCTCTTGAGGGTCCACAACCTTGATATACCATATTTTACACTATTTGCATACAAGGGGCGGCCATTTTGTCCGTCAGTTTTGGTCTGATTTTTACGAAATTCGAACTCAAGCGTCATTACAGTGTAACTGTGATATATTCAAACGGTTTTTTTTAAATTGGATAATAATTGTGACCTCTAGAGGGACCACAAGCTAAAAACGCGATTTTTCGTATAATCAAGGGCCATAATTCAGGAATAAAATAAAACCAAGTACGAACAATCCAAACCATTAGACAAAATTCGAAGTCCTAAAAAACGGTATAGGCAAAATAGTGTAATCAGCAAATGGACTGTTCACCGTGTACAAAATACACGACAAACAGTGGTAACAGGTGCCCGGAAGAGTAAGCTTACCCTGCCTGGCGCCACACCCGCCATGGCTGCATCCAAACTATTAGACGAAATGTCGGTAAAATAGCGTGATTGGCCAATGGAAGTTACGATCCGATATGCGCAAACATCGAAAGGAATCAAGATCTTTGGGTTATAAACATGTATTTCATATTTCATCAAAATTAGATGAAAACTGTGACCTCTAGAGTGGCCACAAGCTAAAAACGTATAATCAGGGGCCATAATCCACGAAGTTATGGACCGATACATGCCATTACCGAAAAGAACCAAGATCTTGAGAAGATAGACCTATATTTCAAGTTTCGTCAAAATCGGATAAAAATTGTGACCTGTAGAGTGTCCACAAACAAATTGTGGACGGACAGACAGACGAGCGTCCGGACGGACAGGGCGATGACAACATACGTCCACATGAAAATGTGGGCGTATAAAAAGCTGCTTTATGATTTGAATGAATTTATTTTTGTTTTCAGATATGAAAAGGTTCCGTATTACAAATTTATCCATAGTTATTATTTTAAAAGCGATTTACCCAGAGCGTATTTATTTGAATCGAGTCCGGTGCACCATTTTACATTTATCATTTGATAATGTTTTCAATCTGATTAAAATACAGATCTATATTTCGTTTCATTTTATATACCTTCGATGGCCTACACTACATGAAGATCTGACCGGTTGTTGCGATATGTCACTTCAGAAGTCATACGAGCGGCAAGTGGGCCTATGCCGTCAGACATTTGATTAACCAATCAGCATTAGTGCTACTAGTGGATTACCCACAGTTCCGTGCAAAACACACCTAAAGTTCGCCGTAACAGACCGTTTCATTGGCTAATACCTCACACTATTCAGAACACGTCAATGCTAACAACTCTTCCAGATCCTAGTGTAGTAAAGACAAGTGAAACGAAATTAGCTGATTTATTTTTGTTATAAATATAATAAACCAACAGTTTAGCTGATGTCCCCAGCCCCAATCAAAAAATAAAAAGATGACACATGAATTAATTGCACATTTATCGTTTTGGAAGCATCGAACAATCAAACTGCTTATCGATACTTATCGTCAGCAGAAAATGCTCATGATCGAGCTAAGCCGAGGTTTTGATGTAGATTAACTAAACACCAAGTTTCATCAGTCTCTATCAATTAAAATCATAGTGTCATCATCGAACTCAGTCAAGGCGTTCACCATATAAACTACACCTATACCAAGGGACCTAGTGATGGTCATTTAGGATTCAGTACGACCAAGACATGGCGCAACAATACACCTCGATTCCGGCGGAAAAATGGCCCTTATACCTTGGACATGAATTTAAAAACAATAAAAACCAGGCGCTGCCAGGCAGGATACGACCATATTTTGAAAGATATGGATAGAGAACAAGCTAAAAAAAAGGCGACTTTTCGTACAATCAAGGCCCATAATTTAGGAAGTTACGATCCGATATGCGCGAATATCGACAGGAACCATGATCTTTGGGTTATAAAGATAATTTCAAGTTTTATCGAAATCGGATCAACATTGTGACTTCTAGAGAGTTCACAACCTTGATATACCATATAGTTACACTATTTGCGTACGAGAGACGGCCATTTTGTCCAGCAGTTTTGGTCCGATTTTCACGAAATTCTAACTCAGCCGTCATTAGGGTGTAACGGTGAAATATTCGAACGTTTATTTTTTCAATCGGATAAAAATTGTGACCTCTAAAGGGACCACAAGCTAAAAACACGAAAATCTGGATGAACTTTCTCGGCCAATGCAGGGATCGAACACCCGACCTCCAGGCTAGCGATCCAGCGTCTTACCCACTTAGCCACGTGATCCCCGCATCACTGACAAGGGAGAACCACGCCGGAAAATCTGGACGAACTTTCTCGGGCAAAGCAGGGATCGAACACCCGACCTCCAGGCTAGCGAACGCCCTACCCACTTAGCCACCGTGATCCCCCTGGTTTTAATGAAGTGAGAGCGATGAAACTCCGACGGTGAGAATTTTCTGCTTAGGCTAAGGATTGATAAGCAATTTGATTGGTCAAAACTTTGGAACATAACAACTTTACTTTTAATTGAGGTAGAATGTTTAAACTTGATGTAGACGTTCATTAGTTGAATGTCTTGACTGAGTTCAATGATTAACATTTCGAGCTGAAGCTAAGCAGAGCTAATCAATTTCATTGGTTGATGCTTTAGGACAAGATAATCTTGATTCTATCTGATAGAGAGTGATGAAACTTAGTTTATAGTTTGATTGCTTAGCCTAAGCAGCCATCATCGAACTCATGACACGTATCTAAAGAACATCTACACCAAGTTTAAACATTCTACCTCAATTAGAAGCAGAGTTAATGTTTTCCAAAATCTCGACCAATCAAATCGCTTAGCTTAAGCAGAAATTGCGTTCCAAAACGTGTAACAGACAGAGAGACGCCTACATCGAGTTAGAAAGTTCTAGCTCAATTAGAAGTAAGTTATTGTGTCCCAAAACGTGTAACCGACAGACAGAATTAAAATAGTCCCCCGCTTTCTTTAAAGGCTGATGACCCAAATCTGTGATTCTTGAATTATTGTAAAATTCGAATTATTGTTGGAGGCCCCATTTCTTTATATTGAGCATTATGTATAGTTATGTCAGGTCGGTATGGAATTATTTAAAATTTGAGAAAAAGTTTCTTTGTCTATATTTCCACCGGATATAACACACACTATATTCCCTTTACCAGCAGACCCATTTAAGGCAGCTGATACAGGAGCTGCAGCTCCGCCTTCAGCAATAACATGATTGCGTTCAGCTAACAACTTCATTGAATCGGCGACCTGCTTTAATGTTACTACCAGTGAACTATCAACTAGCTTCTTAACGGATGGCCACATTTCATTCAGAACAGATCGGCTGCCAATACAGTCTACAAAAGATGGCTTGTACTCGCACTCAACAGGTTCCCCAACTTCAAGTGCTTTTGAAAGTGGGGCAGCAGTTTCTACTTCAGCCGCAAATATCTTGACGTTTGCTTTCTTCGATTTAATGGCAGAAGATATTCCAGTGATCAGTCCTCCGCCTCCGTACGGTACAATAACTGCATCAACATCCGGAAGATCTTCTAATATTTCAAGACCTATTGTCCCATTGCCTGACAAGAAAAAAGGATGTAATAAAAAAAAATTAATAAACTAGCAGTGACGCTGATGTTTGCCTCGCCCAAATCCCAAAATAAATAGATGACACTCGTTAAAAAAAAATCTACAAATCATACTGCTTAGTTTCGGCATGGCGTCAGCAGAAAATGATTACCCTCGATGCCACTCATGACTTTCGCTTAATCTGAACATTCTACCTCAATTAAAAAAATGGTTATTGTATTGCCAAAGCTGTGAATGAACCCATTTTAAAGTTACTATATATAAGTCTTTAACTCAACATCATCCAAGTCTTCGACATTGAAAACACAAGTTATTTGCCAATTTAAATCAACATTGATGTTGTGATCTTACCGGGAAAAGATGGGCTTCTGATATCCAACATTTAAGACAAAAAACATTTTACCATTGGCACACGAATTGTGTCGTGTACAAGAATGCGTTTCAGCGCATTTATAACAAGGGACTCGAAAAACGAGGCTAAACATATTCCCACAGGTCATGTCAAACGGTGACGACATATTCTTATCTGGAGAGCAATGACAATAAATACTACCGGTGTAGACTGGAATAACCAGACGCTAGAGATTGCCATTCGATTGAGACTTATCGCGTATTTCGCTGAACATAACTGATTAGAAATTAAAGGTAAAAACGGAAACGATTGAATGTAAATTAGTTTATATACATTCATATTACATTATTATATGCGTTGCGACCCATTTGTGTCAATTTCTAGGTCCCAAATATTAGCGATCTGGCTCCTTTAATTATGCTAATGAAAAAGCGGTACAAGTAGCTTATTGAACAGGTGTTGCCCTTTGGTTGCCAAAGAGCATGGACGGATATATTGATTAATCTGACCGATTAAATATAATAGTTTGATATAAACTGAAGATAGTGTCCTAAATATTAATGCCGACAATGCTTGTTTGCTTTTATCTTACCTCATTCTAAAGTGTCACGAGCATGTAGCGGGGAATGTCGGTCATTAAATCATATATTTAAATCCATATTACTAATGGTAATCACTATGTTGCTATCTGAAAATAACGCGACGTCCCCAGACTCAAGCATACGCGTAATAATATTTCTATTAATTTCTTAAATTTATTATGTTAAAACATTTTCAGCATTAACTATCCTAAAGCAATGAACGGAATATTCAGAAAGATAAAATAAAGCTTTTCGATATTTTAACACAGTTATAAATATCGTCCAGTACCCCCTTAACCCTTTTAAAAGTGTATTAACCTGCTATAACGCTTGGCTCGGCAACTGGGTGTATAAGCTTTCCTTCCATTCCAGGATGACTGTGATTTATAATGATGTTCCACCAAATGTCGTAAGGTACCCGTATAACCTTGCCCCCGTATCTTTCTATTGCAGCTGTTTTAACGTCAGGTGCGTGATCAGGTACAAGTACCGAGCAGTTCAAGCCAAGAATTCTACTATTCCTCGCTAAACCCTGGGCAAAGTTTCCAGCACTTGCAGTGTAAACATCAGTTAACTTTTCTGATTTCAGGGCTGCTAAAGCATTGCTTGCTCCTCTAACTTTAAATGATCCAGTTGGTTGAAGGTTTTCTAATTTCAAATATATCTACAATAAAAACAAATATTACATAAGGACAAAATACAAAGAATAAAATATTTTCTTTTATAAAATTTATATAGAGTGACTTATTTACGTTGTTGAGTTGGTTGCAAAATTTCTATATCAAATGTTTGTTCACTGATGTGTTAAACCTCATTTCATTTTATTTGTTCAGTGAAACTAAATGGGAATCGATAATTAGTTTTACAACGAATGCTATACATAATGATACTAATTGTCTGAAAAAACAATTGAATAGTTTCATGACTGGACTCGAGGCCGCGTCACAAAGCCTGCCAAACTTTTACCAGTAACATTTACCAATACGACATTTATATCCCGTAAGCTATTATGTACAATGCATATTGTTACATAAAAAGAGAGAGAGAGAAATGGAGTTTAACGTCCACTCGACACAAACCAGGTCATTTCGGGACGAACATATGGTTTTTAATTTTATTTCTATAATTCGTTTGCGCGTAGGGGTCTTTAGCAGTGGGAGGAAACCGGAGGACCTGGGGAAAACCCACGAGGTTGGACAGGCGACCCTACTCCTTGTCACGTACAACCGGGGATTCGAAACCACGACAGTCGACTCAATGACAGACTTTATGATACAGCGCGCGCACGCTAACCATTCAGCCATCCAACCCTCCTGTTACATAAAAAGAGCTCTTAAATCAAAACACGTGTCAATAATTTACCACCAGAATTACACGTGAGTGGAATTATTCTAATTGCATCATTTGACTTAAAGTAACCAATCATATCGTTAATTACACAAGTTCAGGGCCATGATCACACTTGATGGTGCGTGATATTCATATACCTTTAAAAAGAAACCGTGGAACCCTGTAAGACAGACTTCCATTAGATTCCAGAGAGCTTCCATCTGAGTTCCTAGACAGCCGCGAGGCTGGCTAGGGTAGAGAAATGGTTTTAGCTAGTATTGTAATTTGTGCTATGCTTGTATACCTGTATTCAGCTATATATATATAAAATGTAGAAGCAACCTGTTGCATTATTATTCCTGGTAAGACAAACGTCTTAAGAAACTGTAAGAAGTAAATACACAACGTGAAGCAGAAGTAAAGTCAGTTAGAGATAAATTCTAGACGATCACAAGGCTACAGAAATATGTAGTAAGAAAAGATGCATGGGTCTACGTAGGATGTGGCGACCGGTTCCCTTAATCCGCTCTCCACGTCAGACAGAAGACTCATGGTGCTACATTATGTATAACAGTCGTTTCCGGGAGATTTCGATTTGACAGTTTTTACGTATTTTTGAAACAGGTTTCGAAGTGTGTTGGTTCTGTTATGTAAGATCTTTTTCGACGTTCCAAAGTAAATGTACGGTGCTAAGACCACATAAAGATAAGTTTTAAATGTTCCTACTATAAATAAGAACAGGTTTCGCTTTAGTTTTTTATATTTTACGCTGAGATTTTATTGCTTTAAATCTTCCTAGTGCAAAAATGGAAAATTTCACCTTTTGACCTCCGGGGTCACTAAGACTAAAGGTGAATTTAGCAAGTTTAAATTTTTAATGAAAGAGTGATTACTTTCGATCATTTTCAGCATATTGTCATGATAGAAGAAAGGATGCGCATTCACTTACAGTGCAAATGACCTCATGTGACCTTTGACCCCGAATATCTAGAAAACGCCCCAACAGCGGACTGATTACCACTCGGCATCGTATTCTACGCAAAATTTTACTATAGAAAAGTTGGGTCTGATTTTGTGCCCATTTGATGGACACCCCCGCGCACTGAGCCTGAATGGAAGCTTATTGCGGCCATTTAAGAATCTCGAGAAGTCGAGTGAGAGAAAACAACTGAGCGAGAATGCGAGGATCTCGCCCCGAGAACAAAAGATTATTTTCACCTCGACTTCTCGCTCCCTCGTGTTCTCGCCTTTGGAAATCCTCATGTTCTCGCACTGGTGGCACAGTGAGTAGGACGTTTGCTTTCTTACTTCATCAAAGTTCTCCGGGATTTTTCGGTCGGGGTTTCTGCTTGTCAGTGGTATAGGGCGAAAGACCTGGCAAGGGACAACGTATAGTCGTTCGAATGGTATAAATAAAAAAACAAGGTTCCTTGTCCGAAATCGAAATGAAGTGGGGGCTACGGTGGCTCAGTGAGTAGGACGTTTTCTCTCTAACTTCATCAAAGTGCATCGGGATTTTTCTAAAGATGTCCACCCTTGTCAGTTATGTAGGACGAAAACGGAGGGCCTGGCAACGGATAACGTGTAGTCGTTCGGATGGGACAAAAAAGGGGCCTCGTGTATACTTTGGCGTGGGGGAAGGGGTGGGGTCTGTCATTGATTCAAGTGGCTCGGTTTCGATTCGCCGCCTGAACGTGACAATGATTAGGGTCGTCTGTCCAACTGTGTGTGTTTTCTTCGGGTGTCGGCCACTGCTAAAGACCCCTAAACGCAAGTAAATAATTGAAATAAAATTGTTAGTCCCGGAATGACCTGGTTTGTGTCGAGTCTATCTTTCTCTCTTTCACACACATTGGCGTCCACGTACAAGAACCCTTTACCGTGGGAATTCGAAATAAGAGTAGACCCTCGTAGCACACTGCATGGCGTATATTCGCTTTCATTAGCTCAGTTGGAGAAGAACAGTATGGGTTTTGGTAGCCGAATGGTTAACGCGTTCGCATTGGATCATAAGGACAGACATTGAATCAACTGGCGCGGTATCGATTCCCCGCTTGTACATGACAAGGGGTGGGTCGCCTGTCCATCCCCGTGGGTTTTCTCCGGGTTCCTCCTACTGTTAAAGACCCTTTAGGTGTTTTTGTTGATTTAGCGTGGACGTACCTTTGTTTACTGAAACCACGAACTTCACCTCGAATCCGGATGCTGTAAACTTTGAGGTGCGATAACTCGATAATGCAACATAGAAAGTTCGTCAGGAATATGCATGTACGATGAGCTTGCCCTAACCCTATTTTCGGATATTATTGATATGTTTATGGTAATGTATTTCGAAAAATCATCCAAGAAGGCTTCTGAAAGTGTGCAGTCTAGTAGTTGATTCTGTGAAATAAATAACATTGTGCCACCAAGGCTTATTTAGGTGGTTTTGATGCAGTCTGAACGTACCCTTTGATTAATAAACCCAAAAAGTTTGTCCCGAATCCAGGTCATGAGAGAACTTTACGTTGATATCTACCGTATATAAATAAAATCAAAATATGTATGTATGTATGTATGTATGTATGTATGTATGTTCGCCCATCACGCTTCCTGGCAATGTGATATCTATATAAATAAAATCTAAGTGTGTATGGGTGTGTGTATGTATGTTTGTATGTATTTTCGCCCATTTTGCTTCTTCGCCGTGCTCCACCCACACATTATTATGTGGTATTAAATTAACCAGCATCACAACATGAATGTTTTAGGCTAGTGAATTCGGGCCCTGGGCTAATTACCCTTCGTCGCCGCGCTCCACCCCCACATATCTCGTATCAAATTAAAGCATGGCCGCGTGAACGTTTTAGGCCATCGAATTATGGCCACAGGCGAATTTGGGCCACGAACGAATTGGACCTCAAGCGAATTTTGGTCCCGTGCGAATTTGAGCACTGGGCGAATATGGGCCCCTGGCAAATTTTGGCCCCGGGCTAATTTAGACTCTGGGCGAATTTGAACCCTCGTGCATCATAGAAAGGTAATGAACATTAGTATGTTCATAACTTATCCATCCGTTAATTCGAAAACATAAACATCTTGGAGCCACCAAAGCTAGTTTAGAAGTTATTATGTGCGCAGTGAGCCTAAAATAACTCGATTTTCAAATATTTTTGGTATGTATATGGTAATAAATGTCAACAAAATAGCAAAGGAGGCTTCTGAAATTTTGCAGTCTAGTAGTTTATTCATTCCTTGATTCTGTGAAATATTAAGCATGCTGCCACCAAAGCTGGTTTGAATACTTTTTGATGCACGTACCCATTTCTGTGTGTTCACTTAGTGTGCGACATTTTAGTGTGTGTACAGTAATGACATAATGTGGTTATATTATGTATTAATGTGTCTTAAAACGTTATTTTGTAATACAAAGCCAACAATTATTATCAGTTTTTATTGACGTTCGAAATGAAATATGAGACAGGTGTGTGTGTGTGGGGGGGGGGGGGGAATGAATGGTGTTGAACGTCCACTCGACAAATCAAGTAATTTCCGGACTAATAATTTGTTTGCGCGTAGGGGTCTTTAACATTTTTTTTTTTGGGGGGGGGGGGACCTGGAGAAAACCCACAAGGTTGGACAATCGACCCTACACCTTGTCACATATAAGCGGGGGATCGAAACAGAGCACCTACCTCCACCCCCCACCCCCACACACACACCCACACACAACCACGCAAATGTGTACACGGGACCTGCTGTCCCTAGGCCTTCCGTTCTACACCACTTACAAGGGGGTGCCTCGCCAGAAAAGTCTCGGCTACGCACTGAGCCACCGCAGCTCCCACTTCATTTCGAATCCCGACACAGGACCTCGGTCTTTTTTTTATCCCATTCCTCCTTCACCACTGACAAGATTAAACCCCGCCAGAATAATTACGATGAACTTTGATGAAATGAAATGAAATAGGGTTTAACGTCCTACTGTTCTGTTCCGAACTGGATTAATTAAGACGGGCATACGCCATACAGTGTGCTATGAGGGAAATTGTGACCGGGCAGCGGCACCAAAGCCTCCTCTTATGTCGAATTCCAACTGCCAAGGGATCTTTTACGTGCACGCCAATTTATAACCTCGGTTTTTCGTCTTATCCGAACAACTAGACAACTCTCCTTGCCAAGCCCTCCGTCCTGCACCACTGACAAGGGGAAATCACGTTGGAAAACTCTGATGAACTTCCTCGGCCAATGCAGGGGGCGAACACGTGACCTCCAGTTTAGTGAGCCAGCGTCTTACCCACTTAGCCACCGTGTCTCCGAACTTTAATGATGTTAGAGAGCAAACGTCCTACTCACTGAGCCACCCTAAATCCCACTTCATTTCGATTCGGGACACGGGACCTTGTTTTTTTTATGCCATTCGAACGACTATACGTGGTCCCTTGCCAGGTCTTTCCTCCTACACCACTGAAGTAAGAGAGCAAACGTCCCACTCACTGACCCACCGTAGCTCCTACTTCATTTAGATTCTGGACACGGGACCTCGGTTATTTTTATTCCATTCGAACGCTTATACTTTGTCTCTTGCCAGGCTCTCCGTCCTACACCACTGACAAGGGTGGACAAGGCCAGAAAAATCACGATGAACATTGGTGAAGTAAAAGAGCAAACGTCCTACTCACTGAGCCACGCTAGAACCAACTTCATTTCGATTCCGGACACGGGACCTCGTTTTTTAAATCCCATTCGAACGACTATACGTTGTCCCTTGTCAGGCTCCCCGTCCTACAGCACTGGCAAGACCACGCATAAAAAACCCGGTGAACGTTGATGAAGTTAGACTTAAGCGTTTCTTTAATGAATTTAAGAGTTTAGACTACTTTTTTATACATTTCACCGATGTGGTTTCTTGTATAGTTGAATTTTACTACATATGCTTACATTCGTATTTCGTGTAGCATATAGCAGATCATGACACATGCTGGCATTACACAATGGGTTCTTTGGGTTGTATTCCTAATTGTTTTCAAATTTGAGTGAAGTCTGTGTCACTACAGACCCGGGACTGTACAGCGCAGTGGACGCTTACGGCTAGCCCCCGGATCCATTCACTTTTTTTGAATTGTCTGTATGTTTGTGTTTTCCTGATTATGATGTCCTGTCCGTGTATTTGTTTTTGTGTAAATTTTGTGTGGTGCAGTCCCCCTGCACTTACTATTAGAGAGCAAAGAAAGATTCGACTGAAGTCTGTTTGATTCCCTGTCCAAATATAAATACGGTAGTCAGTGGACATGCGCATAAACTGCACTTACGCGGCGAGAATACGAGAAGTCGAGATTGCGACAAAGCGAGGGAGCGAGAACACGAGAGGACGAGATTAACTCAAAGGCGGGAACGCGAGGGAGCTAGAAGTCGAGGATTTTCAAAGGTGAGAAGTCGAGGCGAGAAGTCGTGTTCTCGCCCCGAAAAGTCGAGATTTTGAAATGGCCGCAATAGGCTTCCGTAGAGCCTCCGGTCTCTTGGCTTACAGTTATATTCCCTTAGATATTTATTTTTCTAGTGTATATGTGTTTTTAACTTGTATTGTCTGTTGTGTTTGTTATGTTTATATTTGGTTTTGGCTGGTTTTCTCTGTCTACACAGTCCCAATAGAAAACACAGATATACTTAACGTGTCAATATCATCATGGTGACCAAGTGTGGTTTAATGGTCGAGAGCGAGACATTAAGTAATATACTGAAACAAAACGAGTGATACGCCAACATCAAAGCATGATGTCACATCTGTGTTTTAACTTCTATTGTAGACTATCTCAGTCAGAGCAGGATTTAGATGAAGGAAGTCATTGGGCTATTCCACTTATGCGACCGCTCCCTATGAAGCGGAATTTCCCCCATAATTCTAACTCCTAACCTAGTAACGCGTGTGCTAATATGCTTACTTATATGCATGTAACTTCTTACTAACACATGTTAAATTGGCTATTTACACATGTAAAAATGTTAATTTATATGACTTATTTTTTAAATATTGCAGTTAGAATTTGTATTTTGTTTTATTCCCATTATTACTTTTAATTTACTGTAGCCTGTTTAGTTTCGTTAACATTTTGACATTTCACAAAAGTTATACGATAAAGGCGTCATGAATTATAAGCTCATTTTGGTAACAGATGAAGCTGTTTACAATTGTATGGGGGCTGAGTGGGGACATGTAAACTCTCGCCTTTTTCATAACCCGACAGATAAAAATCATAAAATATTTTATGTACAAAAGCAAACTATTCTAGATATTTTTAAAATCAATAAATAGGCTTCCTTGTCGTGCATTTTCCCTTATACTGCTATATCGATTGATTTTGTTTCTAAAAGAACAATAAAATATTTAGTAAGAACTCATTACGCCATGCATGAGAGTGAATAAATAAATATAAATAGGTAATGATTAGTTTAGCTTATCTTTTCCCCTCAAAATTATGAAATATTTTACGCACACAAGTAAAGTATTTTTGATATTATTTTAGTTTTCTATGGATATTCAGCGTTCTGCAACCTCAAATTGTGAAAAATCTCTGTGGAGGCTGCAGTTTTTAAAAGATAATTTTCATCTTCGATGTGAAGCATTGGGACAAGGGGGGGGGGGGGTAGCTATCGATTTTCACAGATGTGGACGCCAACTTGCTTAAGGAATTCACAGCGTATGTGTGTGTGCGTTGGGGGTGGGGGTGGGGTGGGGTGGGCGGGCTTTGCTATAATTTAATATCTTAATTATCATTTCCTGTTTCTCGACCCAATCCCAAATAAAATAAGATATTGTTTATAAACCAATACAAACACAAAACAAAAAAAACTCTGTTCAACTAGTGTATTTCTATATTACGAAAATATTATCAGAATAATTTACTTTTGTACGTAAAATATTTTATATATCTTTAGAGAAAAAAATGGCCTATTACTTCTCTCAAAAATATCGAGAACGAATATTTCAACAACAAAAAAAGAAAAAAAAGGCTAAATCAATCGATATGGCCGTATTAGGGAAAATGCACGACAAAGTAGCCTTTTTATTCATCTGAAACATATCTAGAATAATTTGCTTTTGTACGTAAGATATTTTATTAGTTTTGACAGAAAAATGTCGTCATGTCTAACGGATTATAAAAAGGGTGAGATTTTACATGTCCCCAATGAGCCACCATATAGTAAACAGCGCCATCTATTACCATAATGAGCGTTGCAATTATGACTCCCTTTTAACCCGTTATGATAAGTCATAATTCTAACTCTCATTATGGCAACAGGTGACGCTGTTTATTATATGGTGGCCCATTGAAATTGTGTCTTTTTTATATAACCCCAAAACACGACAATTTTTCTTTCAAACATAAGTACTACAGAAGTAAATCATTCTCGACAATTTTGAAAGAAAATTTAGGCTGTTCGAGGTCTTTATCATATACTCATACATTTTAAGTTTTAAAAGACATTGAATAAAAATTGTGATCTCTAGAGGTTCCACAAGCTATGTGTTCGATTTTCGTACGATTAGGAGCTAAAATCCAAAATGTAATCGTGAGATAAGTGCAAAAATCGAACCCATCCGAGATCTTTGTGATATCAACATAATATAGTTTAAGTTTCATAAAGTTGGTTAACAAATTGTGACCTGTAGATACACGTACGGACAGAGGTGATGGCATAATACGTGCACATGGAAATATGGGTGGATGAAAAATCTTGAGAGCATAATATTATCTTTATTACCCTATGTTGACTAATCAATTTTAAGGTTATGTACCTTTGCAGTCTTGTCAAGTATCATTGGTATAAATTTATTGATTCAAAATTTATAGGCACGGAAACATTAAAATATAAGAAGGGTGGGTGGTGACAATTACCCAGGAACCAGTCAACGGGAGTATAATAAGGGACTTTGAGAGGATGTAAACAATGTAGAACTATACCAATTTTAGATTCGTTTAGTTATGACTCCAAACTATAGAATGGGATCAATAAGGGCGATGAATCGTTCGCCCAATCTCCAAAGAGTCCTCCTACTTCCTAACACAAACCGGTGATTTGGAACTAAAATAAAGTTTAACGTCCTGATGTTATGGGCCGACTGTGCTTATGAAGACGGGCATAATGAAGTGTGCAATGTCAGGGGATTTTGTACGGAAAATATCGTCATGTCTGTCGGGTTGTGGAAAGGGCGCGATTTTACATGTTCCCAATAAGCCACCATACAATTGTAAACAGCGCCGGCTGTTACCAAAATGAGTTTTAGAATTATGGCGTCTTTACCGCGAAACATTTGTAAAATGTCAAAATGTTAACGAAGCTAAACTGACCACAATAAATTATGAGTAATAATGGAAATAGAACAAAATACAAATTCTAACTGCAATATTTAAAAAATAAGTCATATAAATTAGCATTTTTACATGTGTAAATAGCGAATTTAACATGTGTTAGTAAGAAATTACATGCATAGAATTAGAAGTAAGCATATTAGCACACGCATTACTAGCTTAGGAATTAGAATTATGAGGGAAATTCCGCTCTATAGTTCCCAAGCCCCACGACTAGAAGAAAATGAAAGTGTGTTTACCAAAGATAATGACGGGTTTTAACGACTACATTGTGTGTAAGAAAAGATTATGGCGGTGTCAAAATCAAACTTGGTCGGAGGACCACTAGATCTCGAGGCCCTACAACCTTCCAAATTTTTAGGTAAATCCGGCACTGATCTCAGTAAATAAACGGCCCCTTCAAGTCAGAGAATTGGAATTCTTCAACATATTATCGTCGGCAATACCACATCTGTCAACATTAAATGTAAAAAAACCACAAAAACCTAATTATACGTACCTTGCCCCATTGTGATTCACAATATAAAGGTATTAAAGGTGTTCTAAATGCATATTCTTTAATTGTTTCCTGGGCATCTACTATCTCTTGTAACGCTATAGCTCTCATGGTAGATGACACTTTTATCTATTATAATACCCGTAATATGTCAATATATTCATTCAAAGATCTACAGATAAATATTGTAAAAGACACAGATTGAATTATGAAAAATGTCTATGCAATTAAAATACTTTATTTGAAATGTATCCCCAATATCCATGCACCATCCGTGTCCACAATATCCGTGTCAAAGAATATACACAGGCCCGCAAATGGGTACACGGGTGCGCTTCGGTTTTTCTTTCCAGCCGAATGACTAGACACACTGTCCTTGTCATCAGAGCATAAACATTCATCTAGACACAGGTTACCCACCAATGTAATTCCTTCCGCTTATAGTCTGTCATTCTCTCGCCCGCCCCCGCCTACTGCATGACGATTTTTGTTGGCTTTTTGGTTTACAATTGAATAAAAGGGTCTGAGTTAACATTTTCTGCCTGGTTATGATGCACATTCATGATTTTATGTGGAAGGGATTAAGGACAATGGTAGTGTCAGTCAACATTATATATGTCATAGGCCAGGTTAAACGCATTCTAAATATAAGTATAACACAGAAATCTTTGCCACAGTTGATACTATGAAGAATCGGGGAGTGACGCAAAAAAAAGGAAAATATGAGTTAGCCTTGTATTGTTATATGAGTTCGTGAGAGGATATCTCTTCGAAACGGACGGTACATAAAAAGAATTAACAGTCACGATATAAGGGAGGGCGAGAAAAAGATACAATCTTGATCAGAGAGATAACTTTACCCCTCGTTTATCTCTGGTAAAACTCACCGGCCATTAATCAGCATGAATTCGGTTGTTTAGCTCCACCCCCGTGGCTACTGATTGACAGGAATTGTTAGAATGAAATGCTGCCGATGTCTCGACAATTAGGCATCGGTTCGTTGCATGAGTTACATATTAATGATCCTTGGAACATTTGAGCTACCATCTTGGATCTTTGTGAAGCGACTGACGAGAGGCTACATCACGTGACATTCAAAATGGCCGGCGAGTTTTACCAGAGATAAACGAAGGGATCAAGATTGAAAAATTCAGTGCATTCCCTTGTTTTGTTTTGTGTTCGTTTTCTATTTACACATTTTAAGTGTTGATTATATAGTTTATTCCGACAGCCCTGTAAATATAGACATACTATTATTTTATTTTTCTTACAAATTTCATTACGGCGAACGAGACCAAAGAGAAAATATTTTAGGCCTACTGCTTGTTTGGCAATGCTTGGTCTACTTACTTGTGAATTTTGTTCTATTATAGATACATATCAATATATTTGTCTAAAACCAGAGACAAGTATATCCATAACGGTATGTTATTACAAAGTCATTTGAATCACAATTCTACAGGCTACACCACGTCGATTACAAATATCAAACCTGCGTCCCACTTTATGAGCCCGATCTTTATTGTAGTCTATCCAGATTGTTTTCAGGCTTGATTAACACAGTTTAAAGTAGTCAAGTCTTTAACCCAGTATCATCCACAGTCTTCAACATTGCAAACACGACTTATTTGTCGATTCAAATCAAGATTGATGTTGTTATCTTACCGTGAAAAGATGGGCTTCCGGTATCCAATATTTAAGACACAATGAACATTTTAAACTTAGCACACGAATCGCATGCCAGAATGCTTTCGAGCGCCATTTGTAATGAAGTGACTGGATGAACGAGGCTAAACATATCCCACAAGGGAAGACTATCGGAGTAGACTGGAATAACCATATGCCAAAGACTGCCATTCAATTTACACTCTTCGTGTATTTGGCCGAAGATAACCGATTAGACATTACAGTAAAACATAAACGATTGAAAGTAAATCTGGTTATATACTTTCATAGTACATTATTATATGCGTTGTGACCCCTTTGTGTCCATTTCTAGGTGCCAAAGAATAGCGATTTAGCTCCTTTGTAATTTTTAAACGCCAACAATTTCATGTGGAGTATATTTTCGTCGTCCCTGTCCGCCCGCCTGTTCGTCCACAATTTGTCTGTGGACACTCTACGGGTCACAATTTATATCCGATTTTGACGAAACTTGAAATATAGGTCCCAAAGATCTCGGTTCCTTTCGATATTGAATTGTATCGGACCATAAAAACACGTTTTTAACTTGTGGACACTCTTAGAAGTCACAATTTTCATATGATTTTGATGAAACTTGAAATGCATATTTATAACTCAACGACCGTGGTTCCTGTCGATATTCACACATATCGGACCGTAACTTGCTGAATTATGGCCCCTGATTGTACGAAAAATCACATTTTTAGTTCGTGATTCCTATAGAGGTCACACTTATTATAGGATTTAAAGGCGGCTGAGTTCGAATTTCGTGAAAATCGGACCAAAACTGACGGACAAAATGGCCGCCCATTGTACACAAATAGTGTAAACATATGGTACATATATATCAAGGTTGTGGACCCTCTAGGTCACAATTTTGGTCCCATTTAGATGAAACTTGAAATACATATTTATAACCCAAAGATCTTGGATCCTTCCGATATTCGCGCATATCGGAGAGTAATTTCCTGAATTATAGCCCTTGATTTTTCGAAAAATCACGTTCTTAGCTTGTGGTTCTTCTAGAGGTCACAATTTTTATCCGATTTAATAAAACGTGTGAATCTATTACCGTTACACCCTGATGACAGTTTAGTTCGAATTTTGTGAAAATCGGACCAAAACTGCCGAACGAAATGGCCGCCCACCAACGCAAATAGTGTCAAAATATGGTATATGAACGTTGTCGATCCTCTAGAGGCCACAATTTTTATCCGATTTTGTTGAAACTTTAAATTTATGTTTATATCACAAAGATCTTGGTTGCTGGTGATAATCGCGCATATCCAAACGTAACTTCCTAGATTATGGCCCCTGATTGTTCAAATGATCACATTTTTAGCTTGTGGACGAGCTAGACGTCTAATTTGTATTCATTTTAAAAAAAACGTTTAAATATATCACCGTTACACATCAATTAAGGTTGAGTTCGAATTTCGTAAAAATCTGACCAAAACTGCTGGACAAAAATGGCTGCTTCTTTTACGCAGATAGTGTAAAAGTATATAATACCAAGGTTGTGGACACTCTAGAAGTCACAATACTTATCCGATTTTGATGAAACTTGAAATGATGTTTATAATTCAAAGATCGTGGTTCCTTTTGATATTTGCGCATATCGGGCTAACTTCCTGGATTATGGCCCCTGATTGTACGAAAAATCACGTTTTTAGCTTGTGGACCCTATAGAGGTCATAATTTTTATCCGATTTAAAAAAACTTTTAAAAGTATCACCGTTAGACCCTAATGACAGTTGAGTTCCAATTTCGTGAAAATCGGACGAAAACTACCTTACAAAATGGCGGCTGATCCCTGTACGCAAATAGTGAAAAAGTATGTCATACCAAGGTTGTCCAACTTCTAGAAGTCACAATTGTTATCCGATTTTGATGAAACTTAAAATATATGTTTATGTCTCAAAGATCTTGGTTCCTTTCGCTATTTGCGCATATGGGGCAGACCACCATTAAATTTCACCATCTCGGTACCCACAGATTGTACTTCATCTCTTTTCTCCCCTTTTGCATGCTCATTTGTGTTGATGTTTTGGTCTAGAATGGACGAAGAGGGTTTGAATGAACATTTTCTGTCAGGTTTTGGTAAATATTCATGATTTTGAGGCGGAAGGATAACAGGTTATCAGGCTGGCTACGGTGATATGTACGGCAACTAGTTACATGTTTTTAGTATGCTTGTTCAAGTTTGTGTATCTCAAAACTTTGGTGGTCAACCTCATACAAATTTTAGTGCAAAGACATGACCATTTGTTCCTCTGTCTGTAGTGAAAAGCAATCAGCCCATCGAAAATTTGGGGAAAAGTTGGAGGTGGGCGAAGAGGCCAGAATTAACAATGGGGAAATTGATGGTGGTTTACCTCCATATCAGGTTCTAACTTCCTGGATTACCGCCCCTGATTGTATGACAAATCATGCCTTTTAGTTCGTGGATTCCCTAGGGGTCAAAATTTTTTTTATCCGATTTAAAAAAGAAACAAAACATTTAAATATATCACTATTCCACCATAATAAAGGGGAAAATCGAAACGAACTGTCCGACAAAATGGCCGCTCTTTGTACATAAAGTGTATAAAGGTATGTAATCGAAGGTTCTGGACCCTCTAGAGGTCACAATTTTTATCCAGTTTCGATATTTGTGCATTTCAGACCATAACTTTATGGATTATGACCCCTGATTGTACGAAAAATTGCTTTTGTTATTAGCTTGTTCTCTATACATGGACAGAAAACAAGCTCAAAAAGAGAAGCGATTTTTCTTACAATCAGGGACCATAATCCAGGAAGTTACGATACGACATGCCTGAATATCTACAGGAACCGAGATCTTCGGGATGTAAATAAATATTTTAAGTTTCATCAAAATATGACCTCCAGAGGGTCCACAACCGCGGCATTACATAATTTTACACTATTTGCGTACAAGGAGCGGCCATTTTTACGAATTCTAACTCAACCATCATTATGGTTTAACGGTGATACATTTTAACAGTTTTTAAAATCGGATAAAAGTTGTGACCTCTTAGGGGGTCGACAAGCTAGAATCGCGATTTTTGTGCAATCACGGGCCATAATCCAGGAAGTTAAGGTCGGATATGTGCGAATAGTGACAGGAATAGTTATCTTTGGAACATAGACATATATTTTAAGTTTCATCAAAATCTGATAAAAATTGTGACTTCTAGAGGGTTCACAACCTTGATATTACATACTATTACATACTAGCCCCCGGATCCATTCACATTTTTTGAATTGTTTGTCTGTTTGTGTTTTTCTGGGTATGATGTTTTTGTCCGTGTATTTGTTTTTGTGTAAATTTGTGTGGTGCAGTTCTCCTGCACTAACTATTTTACACTATTTGAGTACAAGGAGCGGCCTATTTTTTCAGGCAGTTTCGGTCCAATTTTCACGAAATTCGAACTCAACCGTCATTATACGTGTAACGGTGACATATGTAAACGTTTATTAGAATGGGAAAACCAGCGGTTGCCAGGCAAGTTACGCCCAAATTTTGCAAGAGATGGATAGGGAACATCATAAAATCAGGGCCCATAATCCTGGAAATTATGGTCTGAAATGCCCGACTATCGAAATGGACTGCGATATTTGGGATATAAAGATACATGTTAAGTTTCATCAAAATCGGATAAAAATTGTGACTTCTAGAGAGTCCACAACCTTGGTATTACATACTTTTACACTATTTGCGTACAAGGAGCGGTCATTTTGTCAGGCAGATTCGGTCCGATTTTCACGAAATTCGAACTCAATCGTCATTATGGTGTAACGATGATACATTAAACGTCTTTTAAAATCGGATAAAAATTGTGACCTCAAGAGAGTCCATAAGCTAAAATTAGTATGCCGTCGAGTAGTAGCCACGGCTTCTGAAAGCAACGTCTTTTCTAAGTAGTGATCGGTGTTGTGTACGATATAGTAACGCGTACTCTTTCCAAAACGCCTCATACCACTTCCCATGTTATGCCTTCACATACCTAACAAGTTTTTGTTTTACTTTTGTATACCTAAATACAATTGTTGATAGATAAAGATTGTCTGGTTTGCATTCCCCGAATACAAGCGAAATTCCCAGTTTGTCAATGACCTTACATGTATTTACAAGAAATTTCGATAGGTCGGGTGAGAAATGAATATGAATGAAGTATTTGATAAAATAATGATCGCTTTTTTGTCGTTCTAGAGCACATGTCAAATTACGATTTGTAATCCACGTGGCGGAGGCAGAAGTAAGTGTCAATTAAATAATAATATATAACTTGAGTGTATTTATTATATAGCTTTCTGAATAAACTATAATAATTATCGCTTTAAATGTTTAAGTAGACAATTTTAAACAAAACAAAGGAATGCACGGACTTTTTATACTTTGCTCACTTTCTCTTATCTCGTGACAGCTAAGCTTTTTTTTATTATGAATAATTCGTTTCGAACAGATATCCCCCCCCCCCCCCGCCACGGTCTCATATAACAACTTTTTAACGTCAACGGAATTATCGGTTAGTTCGTCCACACGACATAGTTTAACTTCAGGATATAGAAATACGTTGGTTGAGTCGTCATCACACGATAAAATAATAATTTAAAAATCGTGGAGAATGCACTAAGCAGGCGTAAACGGCTGCCGTTCAATTTGAACCGTTCGCGTAATTCACCGAACATAATTAATTAGAAATAATAACAATATTTTTTTTTAAAAAATTGAATATAAATCACTTTACATATATTCATATTACATTAACATGTGCTTTTAGAACCATTTTTATATATTTCAAGGTTCCAAAAATCAGAGCCATACACCCTTTAATAAAAGAACCCACTGACGTATATTTAGGTAAATTTTTATCACATTGTTGGACGTTTTGTTTTCGTTCGTTTTAACTTTACACACTCATATAAGTTTTGGTCGTTTTGGATTAGCGCCGTTTCGTCTATATCCCCTTTAAACAAGCCGTTGCCATCTTTACGTTTCGCTGAACCTCTTTCATGTGCCTCTATTTAATTTGATTGAATCCAAGTTTGCAAATTATCTATCGTTGTGATCTTGATTTTGGTGTACATTCAGGCTTTTTCAAAATTTTCTGAAAAATGTAAATGGCATTCCGTGGTTTTAAAGATACATTGTACCGAAAGTATTTATCGGGTAATTATTCCGTATAAAAGTATGGCAAATTTGGTATATATGGAAAGTATAGACACCCACTCTTACTGAAAAAAATAGATTACCCGAAAAACACCAACGGAGCAAGGAATGGGCAAAAATGTCAGGGTAATCCGACTGTTGTCTGCCAGCTTATTGTGTGCTAGCTTGACTGGGGGAGCGGTTATATCTTGATCAAATATTTAGGCGGTTTTGGGAACATTGAGGGGTGTCAACGGAAAAAGTATACGTAGTTGACAGAAAATAATTAAGAATGGACAGTAAGTAACGAAAAATACATTCTGAAAAATGGACCCTCCCTCAATGAAATGAGCTGACTGACATATCGTCTAACAACAATTTACTTATAATTTTAAGAGGGATTTGAAGCAAAGCGAAAGCGAGTAATTACAAAAATACGAAGCTCCCGGGTGGATTACACCCAGTTGTCAGGGATCAGGTATAAAATATTATTCCTATATAACTAGTATACGTACGGGTGTGTTACGCCCAGTTGTCAGGGATCAGGTATGAAATATGAGGTTATGAAGTTGGTGGGACCATGAAGTTAATCAGAGTATGAACTTAATGAATGGATTTTAATGAAGGCACGAAATAACTAATGATATTCATGGGAGCATGAAATGAATGGGTCGATCCTGTAACATAAAAAAAGTATTTCGTTGGCCTAGCTATCCGATAAATCAGTGTAGGGCGACCTTGAAATAAACTAGTTAGAACACTTTTTCTTTCATGTGCTTGACCCTAACCGGCTTCTTCTTGTAATCTTATAATTACAAGATAACCATTTTGTATCACAAGAAAACTATCTTGTAATAGCTATTCCTAAATTTGAAATATTGGCTGAGCGCAACTATTAACCGGTATGCGCAGACGTCAGTTTGATAATGGCCTATCGATTCAAATAAATATTGTTTATGTTTTTGTAGCGCACAATTTTACATGAAAATAGTGTTGGATTATTATAAATTTGTGTTGGATGTGGCAAGAAAAGATTCCTTTTGGCGAACCAGGAAGAATCACGGTGAAAAATAGAGGTAAGGATTCCAAAATAGCCTTAGAACCGAGATGGGGGAAAAGCCTTATTTTCATATTAGTTGTCATTAGGTCGCGCCAGTAACGAAGAGAGAACACTATGGGTCTCTAAGACTTCGTTAATAAAGTAACTATTATTGTACTGAGTGGTGCTTTATCATCATACCCACGTGGTCTTCATTGTGTTTGATATGAGTATAATTTTCTTTACGTCAATTGGGCATACTATCGCCAAACTATAGCAGTCTTGTTCATGAATAGCAAACAACAAAATAAGTCACTTTATTCAATAAATGATCAATAACAATTTCATTCATGATAATTTGATGATCCCGTAAATATACTAGATGGTTGTTCACAGGGAGTAGATCCAGTTGCCTTTGTAAAAATAAGCCACGTGGCAAATGAAGAAGGTCCAAACAATTAGCGCATTTACCGGTAATTTTAATAACCCTGTAAATACTTAAGCAACTGATAAACTGTTTCAATGGCATTTAGTAATTGAACTAGAGTATACAGGTCACAATTCTATGGAATAAAATTACTGCTTTTTACTGAGCGACGTTTCGACTAGGCTTCTCTAGTCATTACCAACTAGAGAAGCCTAGTCGAAACGTCGCTCAGTAAAAAGCAGTAATTGTATTCCATAGAATTGTGACCTGTATAACCAACTGATATCGTAACCTATTCTCTATGAGCATAGAAATACGAATGATGCCATTCACTTGTCGATATATTCATTATTAGGAATATATTAATAATAATCAGCATTTCTATACAAACAACAACTTTGGTCACAACTCCATTTGAAATTCACGGCGAAAATAAAATTATCCGATGACTGTGCATAACAATAGATTGTGCACAAGTCAAGTAGTATTAGTTGTGGACGACTTATTAACCATTAGTTGTGGACGACTTAACCATTAGTTGTGTGCGAGTCAAGTTTCAGTTGTGGACGACTTAACCATTAGTTGTGGGCGACATAACCAATGCCTTGTGGACGACTTAACGAATGGCTGGGGACGACTTAACTGTGGACGAATTTGCTTGTGGACGAGTTAACTAGCACCCTCTAATGAGTAATGGGTGGTGTAGCATTACTGACAATACAACTATTGGCGAAGTGAAGAACTATGCTACAACTTTACTATCAACTATCTATAATGATTAGAACTTGTAAAATATCTTACCAAAGAGGCGTAAATACTAAATAAATAGAAAGCCTTACCCTATAACCCGTGCTGGCCAACTCTGAACTGTGGGACAGGGTGAAGGTCGTTTTCTTGTAAATGCATCAGGGCTCAGACTAGTAATTCTCTCCCGATGACTTCAATGTGAAACCCATGTCCTTACACCATGGTTTTTTACGCCCACATTTTCATGTGGACGTATATTGTCGTCACCTCTGTCCGTCCACAATTTGTTTGTGGACACTCTACAGGTCACAATTCTTATCCGATTTTGACGAAATATAGGTCTATCGTCAAAAGATCTGGGTTCCTTTCGATATTCGCATGTATCGGGCCAAAACTTCATGGATTATGTCCCCTGATTGTACGAAAAATCAAGTTTTTAGCTTGTGGACACTCTAGAGGTCACAATTTTTATCCGATTTTGATGAAACTTGATAGCATTTTTATAACCCAAATATCTTGTTTCCTTTCGATATTCGCACATATCGGATCGTAACTTACAGAATTATGGCCCCTGATTGTACAAAAAATCGCGCTCTTAACTTGTAGTCCCTCAAGAGGTCACATTTTGTTTTATCCGATTTTTTTTTTAAAAAAAACGTTTTTGTATATCACCGTTACACCCTAATGATGGTTGAGTTCGAATTTCGTGAAAATCGGACCAAAACTGACGGACAAAATGGCCGCCCCTTGTATGCAAATAGTGTAAAATATGGTATATCAAGGTTGTGTACCCTCTAGAGGTCACAATTTTCACCCGATTTTGATTCCTGTCGATATTTGCGCATATCGGATTGTAACTTCCTGAATTATGGGCCCTGATTGTACGAAAAATCTCGTTTTGAGCTTGTTGTCCCTATAGAGCTCACAATTTTTATCCGATTTAAAAAAAAACGCGTGAATATATACACTAATAATGGTTGTTTTCGAATTTCGTGAAAATCGGACAAAAATTGTACGCAAATAGTGTAACCAGTGGCTGCCAGGCAGGATACACCCACATTTTGCAAGAGATGGATAGAGAACAAGCTAAACAAAAAAGCGATTTTCGTACAATCAGGGGCCATAATTCAGGAAGTTACAGTCTTTTGGTTATATACTTACATTTCAAGTTTCATCAAAATCAGAAGAAAATGGTCATCTCTAGAGGTTCCACAACCTTGATATACCATATTTTTACGCTATTTGAGTACGAGGGGCGGCCATTTTGTCTGTCAGTTTTGGTCCGATTTTCACGAATTTCGAACTCAACCACCCTTAGGGTGTAAAGGTGATATATCCAAACGGTTTTTGAAATCGGATAAAAATTATAACCTCTATAGTGTCCACAAGCTAAAAACGCGATTTTCCGTACAATCAGGGGTCATAATTCAGGAAGTTACGATCCGATATGCGCGAATATCGAAAGGAACCGAGATCTTTGGGTTATAAACTTACATTTCAAGTTTCAACAAAATCCGATAAAAATTGTGACCTCTATAGGGTCCACAAGCTAAAAACGTGATTTTTCGTACAATCAGGGGCCATAATCAATGAAGTTTCGATCCGATACATGCCAATATCGAAAGCAACCGAGATAAACCTATATTTCAAGTTTCGTCAAAATCAGATAAGAATTGTGACCTGTAGAGTGTCTACAAACAATTGTGGTATATCAAAGTTGTGGACCCACTAGAGGCCACAGTTTTTATCCGATTTGGATGAAACTTTAAATATATGTTTTTATCATAAAGATCTTGCTTCCTGTTGATATTCACAAACATCCGAACTTAACTTCCTGGATTATGGCCCCTGACTGATCGAAAAATCGCATATTTAGCTTATGGATTCTCTAAGAGGTCACAATTTTTTTTCCGATTTTAAATCCCGTTTAGATAATATATCATCATTCCAAAATAATGAACGTTGATTTGGAATTTCGGGAAAATCGAAATGAAACTGCCCGACAAAATGCCGCTCTTTGTACGCAAATTGTGTATAAGTATGTAATACAAAGGTTATGGACCCTATAGATGTCACAATTTTTTTTATCAAATTTTGATAATACTTAAAACATATCTTTATATTCCAAAAATCTCAGTCCCTTTTGATATTTGCGCATTTAAGACAATAACTTTGTGGATTATGGCCCCTGATAGTACAAAAAATCCTTTTTGACTTTAGCTTGTTCTCTATCCATCTCTTGCAAAATGTGGGCGTATCCTGCCTGGCAGTCGCTGGTTATACCATGTTATTGACCTCACCGCTGTGTGTGTGTGGTTCGCCTGATCGTCTTGAAATGTTTCATACTTATTCCTTTTACCGTAAGGATGATATCTATTGTTTTTGGTGCATGCCTGACCCCCAGGGGCAGAGCCACGCCCATTTCTTGTATTTGTTTTTTTTTTGTCGTCCACAGGCCGCATTTCTTAACGTATCATCCAGGGCTGCCGACAACCAGTATCGCAGCGCAATTTGCGATACATATTTTGTCCGTTGCTAATCAAAAATTAAAATCTAACGTTTTTGATTCGCAGTAACTGCGAATCAATAATATGCCTGTCATTTTGGATATTGACACAAAGATTTATCCACATTTCTCAACACTTTCAACGCGTATAAAATATCAAATAAATTTTATAAACAAAACGGAATTCTCCGTGTGACATTTTCTTCTCGAACTACCCAGACTCAATTCATGATACTATATAATACAGGGACATAACTCTATGAATCGGGACTATTAAACCGGAAATAGGGAATCAAGTAGTACCACTCACGTTGCGAGACATGTCAATTTCGAGTAATTATATCAGTATTCAATTTGAAAAAAAATAAATTCAGTGTATCCCCCACGTATTGTAAATAAAATATAAAAAATAAATACGTGTAAACGTATTGTAAAGTGAGAAATCAAAGTAAGAATTCCCGTAAACTATTATTGTTTATATCGCGTGCGTCTAGTTAATCGAAATTATTCGTAAAATACCGCGTGCTTCCGATTGAACAAAAATAATAACACACGATAAAAAGCAGACGAAATTGTTTTCTAACGAAGAAATAAGAAGCCACTGCCAAGAATTGGCTTCAGACATAAGGCCTAACAAAAGTCTACATTCATTCAGAAATGTTCACAGCTAGCTGTAGAAGTGCTAACATTCTAAAAAAATCTTAAGAATGAAATCTAATCATTTGCTATCAATTAAAATTAAAATAATCTTGTTATTTAGGTGTTTTATGTTGATTTGAAACTGAAAAACTGCTAATCAATTTTTAAAGTTGCTAATCAAATTTGGCAAAATTGGACTTTTTGATTAGCAGTGCTGCTAATCATCTGTGAAAAATTACCGACAGCCCTGGTATCATCTTGAAACGTTTCATAAGTATTCCTTATACTCTAAGGAACATCCCTATTGTTTGTGGTGCATGCCCATTTTCTTTTTGTGTGTCGCCTACAGTCCAGAATTCTTAATCGAAAACTTTTCATACATATTCCTTATGCCCTAAGGATGACCTCTATTATTTTTGGTGCATGCTGGACCCGAAGGAACCGAGACACGTCCAATATTTGTGTGTGTCTGTGTTTCGCCTATAGGTCGCAATTCTTAACAGATCCTTTTGAAACTTTGTTTACCTATTCCGTATACCCGAAGGACGATCCCTATTGGTTTTTTTAGTGAATTCCAGTCCCCGAGGGGCAGAGCCACACCCATTTTTCTTTGTGTGTCTGTGTGTTGCCTACAGGTTACAATTCTTAATGGATCGTGTTGGAACTTGTCATATATATTCCTTATAGCCACACCCATTTTTTCTTTGTGTGTCCCTGTGTTGCCTACAGGTTGCAATTCTTAATGGATCGTCTTCGAACTTGTCATATATATTCCTTATAGCCTAAGGGCGGCAACTCTTGATTTTGGTGGATGCCCCGACCACCAAGGGAGAGCCACGTCCAATTTATGTGTTCAGCGCCCGAAGTTCACACTTCGGAATGGATTATCTTGGAACGTGTTTTACTTATTCCTTATACCCTAAGGACGGCAACTATTGATTTTGATGCATGATTTCCCGCCCACCTTTGGCGATGCCACACCCACCTTTGTTAATACTTTGTCTGTAAATGATACATATAGGTTGCAGTTACTAACAGATTTGGATCCAATTCGGAATAATCTATCATGGGGTTGTACCTATTTATATTGGTCCATATCACCCTCAGTGGCAGAGCCACATCCCATTTTTGTGTGTTTTTGATCTACAGGCTGGAATTCTGACTGGATCATCTTGGAACTTGGCATATTTATTCCTGTAAGGATAGCAACTATTTATATTGGTACACGTTCTGACCCCCAGGGGTATGGTACCACGCCCACTTTTTTGTTAATTTTTTGTCTGTAAACTCTTCGGGTTGCTATAATTAACAGATTTTGTTCAAATTCAGCATATCAATCATTTCAATAACAGGGTGGCACCCATTTATATTGTTCGAAATTCAATCCCCAGGAGCAGAGCCTCGCCCAAGTTTTGTATTTATCATCTACAGGCTGCAATTCTGAATGGATCATCTTGGAACTTTACATATTTATTCCTTATACCGTAAAGACAGCAACTATCTTATTTTGGCAAAACAAACCCAAGCCTAGCATTCTTTGCCTCTTGTCATATTACAGTCATTGCAGCTATTTCATATTTCATTCACTTCATTTTGAAAAGTACCGTATCAATGAAAGCGGAAATGTGGACGTATAATTGTAGCGTTAGCGATGCTCTAGTTTAACGTCCTCACAATCCTAATATTTATAACTACAAGAACCCAAAATATCACAATCATCTGACCAAAATATTGAATGAGATGACCATCTGAATTATCTACTACGCTAGGTCAAAGGAATCTATATAGATTGTGACGTCATTTCCCTCAACCATTTCTGTTTACTACCTTCCGCCTCAAAATCATAGCTATTTATTAAACACTCTTCTTTAATTCTAGATCAAAATGTCAACACTAAATGTCATACAAAAAGGATAAGTGTGTGGCCTGGGGGTGGGGGGCCTATAAATAAGTAGTCTTAATCAATGATTTAACAAAATTATAAAACTTCATTTTGGATTAAATGACGCTATGAG